ATGGAACATCTCATCCGAGACAACAGTGTTGTTTCAGCTCCGTTGAGTTTCCCAACAGATCTAGCCAAACCTAGCTGATCCTATATTTTTCTATCAGCTGTAAGTTCTAACGTAGAAAATAATGTCACAAAAATATTGAATAATTGTACCCCTCATTCGATAAAAATTATGTTCACATTTTTATCTTGTGAAATCTTTAACATAATATTTTTAAATGGCCTTTTTGACGACAATTGGCTAAAAAGTCTTTAAGATTATCATCACAGGATGGCATGATAAATAAGTAAATAACATAAATAAATAAATAGACAAAAATAAGAGAGAAAAAGCAAAATTAATTAAATGAAACGTAATAGTGATAAAACGTTAAATTGATCTAAAATCTGTCATTCAGCGCCACTGGTAAAAGGAAGAGGATAGGGGAGTATTTCTTAGCACAAATCACGTTATTGATTTAGCAATGCAGCTTAATTTCAGATGCTTTAAGGATGATACTAACTTGTGTTATAGATGGAGGAGTAGCACAGAAACACTTCTAGATGAGGAGATAAGGAAAAAAACTGCTGATTACCAATACTATGCACAAACAAACCTGTAACTGCAGTTTCGTTATTTATGAATTAACCTTAAGTAGTGAATTAATTCTTAGGATTTCTTGTGCGAGTAGTGTTCCTAAAAAAGAAAGAAAGAAAGAAAGAAAGAAAGAAAGAAAGAAGGTAAGAAAGACAGGTAGTTTAGGTAAGGGACAACCTGAAACTTTTTGGTTGAATTGATAGTAAAGTGATTGTCCTAATTTCTAATTGGAGAGATCACATCGCAACGTGAGTTTAGAACAGCAGTTATGGGAAGTTTTGTTGGATTAATTTGATTACACGCTTTAGGTCTTATTTTTTCTTTCCACTGATTTAGCGTTAGGTTAAGTATTTCACACTTTCGCTTCAGTCTGACATTTGCTTGGTGTGTGAGGGCACAGAGACGTGTATGGACCGTGTGTTTGACTGTGTTTGTCTTGTTTGTTTGCTTATTTATCTATATGGGCATGGCCGAGCCTTGAGAAACATCAACAAAGACATTGGACTATTCTGAGTAAATTAACCAATTCAAATTCAGGATCCTGAAACAATTTGGTTATAACCTCTAATTGATGAAGGACATCTTAAGAATTCATTGTACAAGGCATCATCTCCAGTGTTGCTGGAACTGTTATAAAACCCATGCATGGTTGTATATTTTAGTTTGATCATTTATACTCATTGAATTATTGTTGTTTGCTTTATGTTTTAATTTCTTAGCAATTTTTTCTCTGTGACACAGGTGGAGATGCTGGTGGCAAAATGGATCCCACACATTTCTTTCTCCCACACACATTCTTACTCTCTCCCTCTCTCTCTGTGTATGTGCATGTGTATGTGTTTGTGTGTCTGTGTGTCCATGTCGTGATGTCACTGTACCTTTAATTGCGCTTGCTGTTCGTAACTGTATGTGTCTGATGTTGAAGGTATCAGAGGCTAGGGTCAGTAAGAGCTAGGACATTTTTGTGCATAACCTCTAATCCCTAGGCGATCGGTCCGGGGAACTTCTGGTCCGGCCGGAGTGTGAATCTTCCTACCAACTATCTGCCGAGATCAAGGACTGCACAAGCCGAGAAAGCCTTCATTGGACCAAAACTACACACACGAAGAGGCTTCATCTTCGGTGCCAGGCGTCTGGGTCCTGCTAAAAGTCACCAAAAGGAAGTGGACGGAACCGAGGTGGACCGAGCCATACAGGATCACGGAGAGGACGTCACACGCTGTCCGGCTGGACGGGAGGAGCCTAACCTGGAAGAGAAGCAGCTGACATCTGCCTAACCAGAGAAAGGATCCAAAAAACCAGGAAGAGAAGTAGCTGACTACAGTAGCATGCCAAGCTGCCACCACATCCTGCAGGACGAGAATCTTGACATCATCACCCCCTGCAGCTGCCTGGAGCCAGTGAAGGGTCCTCAACAGGGGGAAGAAGTAACCACCCTATGAACATTCTACAAGGGTTGTATTTAACACCCTCATTTATTTTAACAAGGGTAATATTTTACACCCTCCACCTGCTGACCCAATTATCCAGATGCCCTTGTTACTAGCCAATCCTAACATCTATTTGGGAGGGGAACTCTCTGATGATAGTGATGACTCTCATGATGAAGAAGATGTTGTTAGAGTGTGAGAATGTTCAGTGATTTATGTAACCATCCCTTCACCAGTTCATTTTTATGATTTTTTTGTTTGTTTTGTTTTATTTTTTGTTGATCATTGATGTCCTAGGCATGCACACTCTATGCCAACAGGTGTTCGCCCCAAAATTGAGATATGACAAATGGGGGGACATGGGGGAATTTTCCCTATAAACATATGATAATTAGGGTTTTTCGCCCTCATATGGAGTTGCATGCGATCCATACATGTTGTAACATGTTCTGTTGAAAGTATGATCATGTTTTTTGTATTAGTTTACTGCTAGAAAGATGAGTAAATGTAATCTGATTGGTTGTTTGTATTGGTATTTTAAAACTTTGCTTATTGGATTCTTTTTGATGGAATTTGGTGTTATTGTTTTGATTTCTTATATCTTTATTGAACTCTTAAAAGAGTTCAAAAAGGGGATTGAAAATATATATCTCTCATATAAGCTCTTTCATATATTATTATAAGCTCTTTTATATGATTAAATATGTATCTCTCACTTTTGCCCCTTATATATTATCATAAATACATTATTATATGCCTTTTCATGGAATCTTGTTATAATATCAAAGACCTCTCTGTGCCTTTTCTGCTCAAGCTGAACAGCTGCATAAGGGAGTGAAAGCGTTCCTTCCTTCAGTTCCTCAATACAAGAACAACTGTCTTTGTTAGCAAAGGATGTTGCAGGATGTGTCCTGATCATCTCAAGGTTGCATGTCCTTGGGATGAATTGGTCTTTCATTAACAAGGCTATTAGCTGACGTGCGTCTGCAGGTGCAGATGGCAGAATTACGTGTGTGTATGGCAAACTACGTATGTAACATTCCTGTAATCTTCAATAAAAATCAGCCGTTTTCAGCAGAACGGCGAGAGTCTGTCCGAAGCATCTGGCAAGAGCAGGTCGCGGGACTTGCTGCAGAGACTCTCCCCCTCATGAGCGGCGAAACAGTGAATGGACTTCTGATCATTTGTCTCCTCGTTCTGACAACTTTAAAGGTGTTTAACTCCATCTACTCCGTACCCGTGCTTGGTCTAACGGAAGAGAGACCAACACTGGACATCTCTTGCACAGAGGACATTTTCTGCGTGCACTTCGCAATACTGCCAAGACTCCAGAGAGATCTTCAAGTTTTTGTTGAAGGTTGGAACCACCATCCAATTCGTACCGAGAGAAACAGAAGTCCAACACAGATTTGGGGGATTGGCCAGTTGATTACCAGCAATGTCCAAAATGAACATCTTGAGGTGATTTTTTTTTTGCTTGACGTTTTCCTCTAACTAGGTAAGTAGTAGAGACCAGACAATCTTTTTTTTTATATTTTCTTGATAAAGATAAAGGCACTTTAAGGTATTTTAACAGCCAATACGTGCATAGAAGTATTACATATGTTCCTCATACATTGTTGATGTCAATTACATTTTATCTGGTAAAGGTCCCCCCAAAAACAAAAATACTACATCTGACTCCTATGTATCTACATTTTTGTAGAGTATGTAGGACACACTGCTACATGTTATTTAATAAACTATAAATGGACAAAAGATGCAGAGGTTGCACTTACGGTGCAGTGTTCAATGTTACCAGATATTAGACATTTATCAAAACAGGGAAACATCTGCAATTTTTTCTGACAAAAGTCCATGAATGACATTTAGTAAAATCCAAATATCTTCTAAAGCTAAATCTCAATTAATTTATGTGGATGAATGTATGTCAACATTAATAAAAATATATAAGCCTTATGCTTACACCTGAGCCCTCAGTTCTAAAAACCAGAACCTTCTAGAATTTCCCAATGCCAGATATAGAAGTTCACGCAGGTGATCAGTATTTACAAGCTATTTCCCTCCGGCTTTGAAATTAACTTGCTTTTTCTTTGTGTTTACCAGCATGCTCGCATACCTTTAAAATGCAGCTGAAGACCCTTTCATTTAAAGCTGCTTTAACATACCTAATTTTTTAATATTCTTTCAAGATACATTTATAATCTGTCATTGGTTTTAGACTTGTCATGACAGTTTGATGATTTTAATGTATTTAATTGAATAGGTTTGGATGATCATTATGACTTTACAACTTATTTTTTTTCACTTTTTTTCCGTTATGTTTTGTACATGTACATACATAACATGTACTTACGGAAAAGTATTTTTACTGTTCTTAAATTTACAGGACCTTGACGAACCGGAAATTGACTGGGAGACTGCAGTTGATTACAATGGCCTTGACCCTGAAACTGGCGTTGTAGTTCCTGAATATGACAGCCCTTTTACAGAAGAAGAAATTAATCACCTACAGACTGTGGTAGATCCAACCAACACAAATGTTACAGATGAACAGCTGTATCTTACCTGCCATGAACATATGAGACAACTGCGCTCACACTCTTAGTAATGATGCTGGTGCTGGGTTAGTAAAATGACTTTTACACATGTAATTCCCAGCATTGTTGGCTTTTTGCAGTCCTACTTTTAAATTTTACTACATAAATCATTATATTTGGTTAACATGTTTAACAGCAAACATTTGCTTAATGATTGTGACATACAACATTGTCTGAAACAAAACATTGTTTTTTACTGTACAGCTTCCTGTATCATACAATGTACAGATAAAGTACATAACAATCCCTCATGTGTGAATAATTTGTGAAACTCAACATTTATGGTAAAAACTGAACATTTATGTAACTAAAAATGAAAAAACTGCAAGCAGAAAACATGAACTAGTATAATTAGGTAACACACATTTTTGATTCTTTGCTGTGCTGTATTCAGTTCTTAGTGTCGTCCAAATTCATTTCCATGGATAATAGCCTGTGAAATGACAGTTTTGAATTCCAAGTACGTGGTTAAATGTGACACTGGGAATGTGATAGAACAAGAACATGCATTAACCACAGGGTAGCAAATGCTATGTTTTCCAAAACGTGCACTGCAGTCGTGGTCAAATTCCATGACTATTTTTAATGTCCCACGCTCAGTAGGACTCAATGGGATGTGACGCTGTCCAGTCAGCCACTGGCAAAATTTGCCAACATTAAGCCACTGACTGTTGAAGTTCCCTTCTGTTCTCTCCGGGTTTGCATCCATTTTGAACTCTTCAGACTGCTCACCTCCTGTTGTGTCTTCTGAAAAAATTAAATAATCAACAACATTGCTCTATTTCTCAGACAAACTTAGAAATGTATGACAGTGTTAATCTGGATACATTACTTACCCTGATCATCCATGTCCTGAACAAAGTCCTGAAGAAAGTTGACTATTCTGTTCTCCCTTTGACGCTTCATTGTTCCACTTTCACTGAAGACGGGTGACAGTGACTGGACTAGAAAGTCAGCATCCACCTTAATTATGCAAACAATAGTAAAATTAAAATGTATTCTGTTGGTATTATAAATCTATAGTACATTACATTTATTTATTATTTAACCTTTATGTAAACAGGAAAACACAGTTTAAGAACAGACTTCTTATTTACAACTGAGGCCTGGCAAAAGACAGTGCCTTATGAGTGGCAAAAAAGACGGTATCATGTAATAGTTTTAAATTGCATTAATAAGAAAAAATAAGTGCACCACATCAACTCTATTAGATATAAGATCTAAATAAATATAAGTCAGTGTAAGTGACAACAGCAGGTTCCTTGAAAATGCTCCGTGATCACAGTTCTGAAAGCTGCCTTTGAGATAAACAAGACCATTTTTTGGGTTTATTGTAGGTCGTTCCAGTCTCTAGCAGCTGCAGTCTGAATGGACAATGAGCCAAATGCATAAGCTGTTTTAGGAACTGTCAAAATAAGGTTTGCAGATAGAGTATTGTAAGCCGGAGATTAAAAATGTTGCAAATAAGGAGGAGACAAACCAAGGACAGTTTTTAACCCTCCCACTGTCCTAATAGATGTGACCCAGCAAGGAAAGTTGACCATTGAGTAGGGCTGATGGTTTATACGTTGAGGTCCATGTGGCAAGGGGGACAAGTGAGCACCACATCACCTTTGCCACATGGACCTGAAGGGATAAACCAACCCTGGTCAATGGTCAACTTTCCTCAAGGGGCCACATCCATTAGGACAGTGGGAGGGTAAAATGAACATGAAACAGTGTATTTAGCAACATGTGTACAATGATGACCAGTTAAGATAATACAGAATACAGTATTGAGTTTTACAAAGAGCGTCTGTAACAAACCGTTGGGCAGTGTGGTAAAGAACATCGAGCTTAAAGAGCAAGTAATGCCTAAATTAACTTGTTTTGCTGAAAACCTGTATACATGAGGGTCTAATGGTGCTGTACACATGTGTAATCATTAGTGTGACACTTAAATATAACTTATTCTAAATGTAATATTTAATCCCAAAACCATAATTATATCTCAATCTTTTGGTTAAAACTATGCTCCACATTTATGTGGAACCAGCTGTGGCTGATGGCTAAGATGAAAAACGTGACGTTATCAGCAAATTACTATGTGGCAGAACCGCCCTGGTCTCCTGGTGAGGCAGCCACACCTCCACCTGGCTCAGCTACTTACCTGCTGATATGACACGTTAGCGCTCTGAGCTGCTTACCTATGTGAAATAAAGCCCTCCTCCCCTTCTCATCTAATGATTGTGGTTAACAGGAAATCCTCCAGAATGCTGCAGAATCTGTGTATGCTGTTCTCCTGAGAGACACGCCTATATCAGAAGTGTTTCCCTAACAGGAAGTGTGAATGAAATACGTCTCCACCCATGCCTTGACACTCGCTTTAAACCTCTGTGTGATGATCTACAAATGACATCACCATAATCAGACTTTGGTAGAACAGTGAATTGCACCAATGTTTTCCTTGCAGATGAAGTGAATGAGGAACACCTTCTGTAGAGGAAGCCAAGTTTTGATTTAATCTTAAGTCTGTATATTGTTGATATGTTTTGAAAAAGACAGAGTACTGTCTAGCCAGATGAACAGATATTTCTATTCAGTAACCTGTTCTACAGATGTTCCATCCACAGAGGTGTTTGGTTTAATTAGATGGCATATCACCTTATTCCCTATACCACATGGCTGTAGTTTTAGATTTGTTTAACTGAAGTTGCAAACTGGAAAAGGCAATTTGTATACTATTGAAACTGAGCTGTAGTTGTCAGTAAACTATAGAAAGAGCGGCCCAACGGAGTAGAGGACTGTTTTGTCATTGTCAGCATAGAGATGAACACATGAATCCACAACATACTTTGCTACATTATTTATGTGAATGGAGAAAAGGGTGGGACCAAGTATTGACCTGTGTGGAGTTGTTATGACTTCACAAACTGCTGTCTGTCTATAAAATAATTTGCGAACAAAGATAAAGAAATATCAGCAATGACAATATATCAAAGCCGATCAATAAGAAATTTGTGATTCACTGTGTGAAACGCTGTTGCAAAATTGATAGAAATAGCTACACAATGCAACTTTGAGTCAAAAGAAGAAATGTCATTTAGGACTTTGAGGGTTGCAGTTGAACAGCCATAACAAGGTCTAAAACATGATTAAACATCAGATAAAATGTTGTCTGCTCCCACATAATAAGTGTTGACCATTTAAAAGTTTTTCCAAAGCATTGGAAAGACATGGCAAATCACAAATATGCCTATAACTGTTGTGATCTGAATGATACACACCCTTTAAAAGAGGATGCAAAAAGGCTGACTTCCAGGCATGAGTTATTTGGGCTGCATGTAGGGATAATTTCTAAATGTGTGTAATGGGAGCAGCAATGATAGTGGCTGCAATTTTATATAATTAACAAATCAAAGTCATCACTGCCTGATTTTTGTTGGGTCAAACTTTAGCAACCTCACACTCTGAGAATGCCTGCAAGGTTGGGTGGGAGAATGTGGTGTAGGTTCGGTTACAAGTACATGGTTAATGTACCTTGCCAAAAGATCCAGGCACAAACAGTTGCCTGCAGATGTCTTTTTCCTGCTGGACCAGGCTGAGGAGACCATATAGCTTCATTCCTGAGCAGATCTGCTGAAGCATAGGCAGCAACCTCATCGTGGCATGCAAGACTGTTGAGCTGAAACATAAATCCATATTTTAGAGCTTTGACCCAAACACGTGTTCATCTGTATTTATTAGTAATGGGCAACGCATCAAATAAAGTATTGTTATTGAATTATCTTACTGTAGCCAATATCTTTCCCATGTCAATAAATTCAGTAATAAAATACAGAAAAAAAATATAAATATGTTTTTAGGTTGGTGATGTTAACGTCCCTTTAACATGCTGTACCACCTCCAGTCTTATGAAAACGTGACAGCCCCAACTAGTAGACAGCATTTCTTTTGGCAAATACATGTTATCGCACAATTATCATTATCAAGGTGAGCTCCTTAATATACAGTGATATTGATTTTAGGCCATACAGCCCAGCCCTAGTCTGCATGCAGTGTGTCTTTTATTAAAGCTCTTTTAAGACACTTTTACCGAAGGATGTCTTCCTTCTTTTGAATGGTTATTGGTCCCGTGTATCCACACAACAAAATCCTGTCGGTGTAGGTCATCAGTGTTGTTTCATCTGCTTCTTTAATCTTACAGAGATAACTTAAAATCATTTGAGGTCAAGGACATTTTTGTGGTTTAAAGACATAGAAGTATTTCACATTTTTATTTCTTACCTCTTTCATGAGTTCCATAAGTTCAGGGTCCGTAACATCATTTTCATTTAATCCATCCTGGTCGATTTCCCCATTTGACATGTACTTGTAGCACCACTGCATTAAAAAGTTTGGTGGTGGTCCACCCTGTGTGATGCTGACTGCAAATATTTCTCCTATTGTTCTGTAAATTATAAAAATAGAAAATACACTGAATTCAATTGTGAATTGCGCAACAAGTGGAGTTAATGAAGTATTTTACTGTGTTTTATTAATTTGTGTTACATACATTGAATTGAGAATCTGAATAACTTATGTCTGTAATACAGGTCCTTCCAAATTAGCATATTGTGATAAAGTTCATTATTGTCTGGATATGCTAATTTTTTGAGACAGTAATTTTAGGTTTTAATGAGCTGTATGCCAAAATCATCAATGTTAGAAACAATAAAAGGCTTTAACTACTTCAGTTGTGTGTAATGAATCTAATATATGTGAAAGTCTAATGTTTATCAGTACATTACAATAATGAACTTTATCACAATATGCTAATTTTTGGAGGACCTGTATAGGTAAACTGCACAATTGGACAGCATTTACAAGTAATAATAAAAACACAAATGAATTGATAGAAAATAAGTTTAAAAAACAAACTGGAAGTTGTGTTTATCCACGTCAATCATTGAATACTTGGGGTTTTTACCGCTCTCTCCTCCTTCAAAGAAACGTGTCTCAATACCTGAAACCATGTCTGTTTAAGTAAATAAAAAAAATAAAAAAACAGAGAGCACCACATTTAAAGAGATCACAAACAAGAATTTGAAAACATAACATATGATATGATTTCAAGGAAATGACTACCTACTCCCACCCAAAATAAAACAAAACCCTACCTGTTAAAAATTCCTTCCTCAGTGCTCCGCTGTCGATTCCAGGCTCCCCAATAAAAGAAACTCTAAGGGGATGACGGGGCGATGATTTTTTCTGGCGCTGCCATTGTTTCAGCCCCCTTTCCAGTATATCTTCCCTTGTTACACTAATGTTGAAGATGCTTGTTTCATCAACTCTTTCATTAAGGCATTTGATGATGTCTGCAATGCTGATGGTTTCACAGCAAAGAGTTAAAATTGAAACATTTTAACAATTGTGTCAGTCAAATAGCATATTCTTGACATGTTGTGCAAAATAACCTTTTTGTGTCTGTATGTGTTTTCAGTCTTTTTGGGACCAACTCTGAGTCATCCAATGTGGTTGGATTTGATGCATTAGAGGCTCTGTGAAAATACAAATGACATCTTTCATAAAACATCCTTGTATTAATTCTACAAACTTCTAAATGCCAGTAGCCAGTCTACTACAGGGTTGACACATAGGACAACTAATCATACATACCCCTAAGGCCATAATAACATTAGACTTGTCTTGCATGTGAAATCTGAAGGTACAATGCATTTCTAACAGACACGCAACAGGACAACATGTAAACTCCATAACTATTATTTTAACCTATAGGACCATCTTGCTGTGGGGCAAGCTTGCAAATCACACTATTTTACTGCATTAAAAAAAGATATAGTTAAAAAGCACAGCACTTGACAGTAAAATAGTGTTTTGAATAAAAACAGGAATACCTTTCACCACAGTAGCTTGCATGGATTTCCAGCAGGTCACTTGAAAACATCTTCTCGCAAATTGGACACTCTGCCTAAAAGAAACCTCAGCATTAGTATATGCACATATATACAAAAGGAACTGAAATCATTATAAGATAATCAAAACACCATTTGTGTTAATTATGTAATCCAAATTCAGTTCATGTTGTGTAGACCATACTGGAAAAGAACCAGAGATTTTTACCCCTATTTAACACTGGAGGCATCAGCAGCACCAAATGGCACATAACGGTTTACTCGCTTCAAAGCATCATTTTCACACCAGGAGTCATGGACGCAATACACACCTTGTGCTTTTGGGCACTCCAGTGATGTTGCAGCTCTGAAATATGGCCAAACTGGTGGCAAGTGGCATCTTGGCAGCTGCACGCTTGACTTTTCTCAGTTCATGGGCAGTTATTTTGCGCCTTGGTTTGTCCACACGCTTCTTGCGACCCTGTTGACTATTTTGAATGAAACGCTTGATTGTTCGATGGTCACGCTTCAGAAGCTTTGCAATTTTAAGACTGCTGCATCCCTCTGCAAGATATCTCACTATTTTTGACTTTTCTGAGTCTGCCATTCCTTCTTTTGACCCATTTAGCCAAAAGAAAGGAAGTTGCCAAATAATTATGCACACCTGATATAGGGTGTTGATGTCATTAGACCACACCCCTTCTCATTACAGAGATGCACATCACCTAATATGCTTAACTGGTAGTAGGCTTTTGAGCCTATACAGCTTGGAGTAACCCCGGCTTTCCACAGGAGCCGTCAGCAGCACGTTACTGCAGCAGCACGTCATAGCTGCTGATAGGAACCGCTGTGGTCAACAGAACCTTTTCCACCGGAGCCGTCAGCAGCGCGAGTCGGCCGCGTCTCAGGAGCAGCATGTCGCGGCCTTCACGCGCCGGTTCTATTTTCTACGCGCGACGCCTCTGAAACGGGTCAAGTTCGACATTTTTGGGGAAGGAAAGACAGGAAATCGGACGCGGAAATTGAGAGAAGCTACCGAGATTTTCAGAATAAAGAACGTACTGCTTTCCGGTTGCTTTACTTTTAAAAAAGGTTACTAACTGTGGCCCCGTGAGAAGTTATCACCTAGCTAGCGGTCTCCTTTGTTTTTCAGGTCCGTATTGGCGATTATAAAACGGACAGAACATAAAACACAAACCATGTTGTAATTTTCTCCTGCTTGTCTTTACTAACGAAGTCACTCGTGTGAATTCGTGCTCTGTCGGTGACAGCTGCACCCCTGCTGCTTCGCGTCTCGTGGGAAGGGCCAAGCAGCAGTTTACGCGAGCAAGACGTGCTGCTGCAATAACGTGCTGCTGACGGCTCCTGTGGAAACCCGGGGTAAGACAACATACATGAAGAGGATGATGTGGACAAAATACTCATTTGCCTAATAATTCTGCACTCCCTGTAATGTTCCTCTCCATCTCCAGGTTTAAAGCTATGAAAAACACACCGCTGCACTTCTGGAAAGATAATGGGAGTAAATAAGCCGTTTGGTCACATGTAAGCTACATATATAGTAAATTTCATTGCAGCACTACTTTTATTTAAAAATTTACTGGTGAATTTAAAATAAAACCATGTGTGATTTCCTGTCTAGTCCTATGTTAACTGTGGAAATTAACGTGTTCCAGAAGTGGCTTGTGGCAAAAATAGAACCCGATCACATGTTTTGCAGCGTGGCTTGCCACTTCTGGGACATTTCTGAAAACAGGGGCGTTGCAGCTGGTTTGAATCACTCCATAGACTTTAATGGATTGTATTTTTAGCAGTCATGTTCCGCTGCTGTTGCGCGATGCAGATGCTTTCAGTGTGAAACCAGGGTTAACGTGTGGTGTTGTTAGTGTTACTGTGTAAAACCTGTAAATGTACCAAGAACATTAAACCCTGATAAAGCTATATTTCACTTCAGAAAACAAGGACATAACTGTGTTTCCACAATCCAAACTATTTATAAACGTCAAAATCTTTGCTGGAAGAAAATGTTTATATTGTAACTTTTTTTTTGGTTGTTGTCTGTGGGGTATACCAACACTGTAACATCAGATGGATATTATGAACTTGATTTTCCCTGAAGAAACATGTCAAATAAATTAACATCTGGATTTGAAGAATATTTAGCAAGGAAAATAAATATGACAGTCAAGAAAAGAACATGTAGACATTTGTATTCATTTTTCTGGTACCATAGGCATCTTAAGGAATAATTACAATTAAAGATAAACTACTCACTTTCATAGACATGACACTTTCTGGAGTGTCAGAGGCATTATCCCCAAGCACATCAAAGGCATGTGTGCTTTCTGCTGATTCCTGAAAGTCTTCAATCTGAAACAAAGCATCTAAATTAATATTTCTACTGTGCAATATAGAATATTTAAATTGTATAATTCTAACTCAGAATAAATTTATTTTACCTCTTCATATGTACTGATTGAAAGACTTTCATTTTTACAGCTTTCTACATGGGCAGCCAGTAACTGGATTGGCATGTTTACTGAACATGTCTGACAAGGTGCTTTGGGCATTTTTTCAAACTCTTTTGCAGAGTAAGGAAGGGGTGACATATCGATAGTTCCTTGGACAGGGACAATGTACAGTGTTGACTTCCCACGTCCAACTGTACTGAGGTAAGCTCCTGTATAGCCGTCAGCTTCAGGTGGTACAATGCATAATTTTCTTCGTCCAGAGCCACCTACCAGAAAGTACATATTATATTGGTTAATTTTTTCGGTATTTCATAGGGGAAGAAAATAATTAATTACATGGTGTAAAAAGTAATATACAGTACAGGCCAAAATTTTGGAGACACCTTATCATTCAATATTGGTAAATTCTCACAGTAGGCATCAAAGCTTTTCAAAAACATCCACCCATTCATTTTCTGAACCCGCTTGTCCACGCAGTGTCACGGGGGGTCAACGGGCAAGTAGGCGGGGTACACCCTGGACAGAGAGCCAGTCCATCGCAGGGCAACACAGAGACACACAGGACAAACAATCATGCACACACACAATCACACCTAAGGACAATTTAGACAGACCAGTCAACCCAACAGGCATGTTTTTGGACTGTGGGAGGAAGCCGGAGTACCCGGAGAGAACCCACACATATTTCAGGTGAATACATCTTGAAGCTCATGGAGAAAATGCCAAGAGTGTGCAACGCAGTATTCGGAGCAATGGGTGGCCAGGGTTTTTCCTGCATTCAAAGTTGCTGGCGGCCGCCTCCAGCTATTTTTGTGCGCCCCAGCCTGATTTCACTCTGCCCCCAGCTATATGATGTTATTTTACCTGCAGTTGCAGCGTTGTGCCACTACAGGGCGCTGTATCAGCAGCGGTGCACTGAAAAGCACTTAAATCGCTGCAGAAAAAGATCAAAAATTGCTTTTTTCGCTAGTTGGTACATATCTATGATTGGTGCTATTGACGTCCTGATTTCCCCCTAGGCTCTTCCACATCAGAGCAGGGCTGTACAGTGGTGTCTGTGCGTGTCTGTCTATTTTTAAACGTACGGCTTTGAATTTCTCCTTTCCCCAGAACTTTATTGAACAAAAGTAAGTTACGTATAGGAAAAATGCTTTTTACTGGCAAACAGTGTGATCATCTGGATGCAGTGGAGGAAAATAAAGGAACCAGCAAAGGCACAAAGACAGAACCGGTCCAAAGTTTGGGATCAAAAGTGCAGCTACATGCATGTTGGCTAATGCTAAAGCTAAGGGGTAGCAGTCTCACGATCAAGTGGCGCACAGAAAAATATGATGATCGTAAAACAAAGAAAGACTAAACTCTACAAGCGGATGAAAAGTCCCCACCATCCTGTTTATTCTGCATCCTGCAGCGCTACAGATCTGAACCGCTGCAGTTACGAGTCACACAGGAGCAGGAAGTACGACAACCTGTTGTAATATAAAATTCACAAACGCTTCTATCTTTGAACATAATTTAAACTGGATTATTGCCAACCCGTACATAATAGACATGCCACCATTACATTGTTAGCAGCAGAAATAAAATGTTATTACCATTTCAAACACAAATGCCATTGTCGTCGTCTTCCTCCACTTATCTGGGTCGCGGGGGCAGCATCCCAACTAGGGAGCTCCAGACCGTCCTCTCCCCGGCCTTCTCCACCAGCTCCTCCGGCAGGACCCCAAGGCGTTCCCGGACCAGATTGGAGATGTAACCTCTCCAACGTGTCCTGGGTCGACCCGGGGGCCTCCTGCCGGCAGGACATGCCCGAAACACCTCCCCAGGGAGGCGTCCAGGAGGCATCCTGACCAGATGCCCAAACCACCTCAACTAACTCCTTTCGATCCAGAGGAGCAGCGGTTCTACTCCGAGTCCCTCCCGGATGTCCGAGCTCCTCAAGCTATCTCTAAGGCTGAGCCCGGCCACCCTACGGAGGAAACTCATTTCGGCCGCTTGTATCCGCGACCTCGTTCTTTCGGTCATTACCCAAAGCTCATGACCATAAGTGAGGATTGGGACGTAGATCGACCGGTAAATCGAGAGCCTGGCTTTCTGGCTCAGCTCCCTCTTCACCTCGACAGATCGGCTCAGCGTCTGCATCACTGCAGACGCCGAACCAATCCGCCTGTCGATCTCCCGATCCCTCCTACCCTCACTCGTGAACAAGACCCCGAGATACTTAAACTCCTCCACTTGAGGTAGGACCTCTCCCCCGACCCGGAGTTGGCAAGTCACCCTTTTCTGGTCGAGAACCATGATCTCAGATTTGGAGGTGCTGATCCTCCTCCCAGCCGCTTCACACTCAGCTGCGAACCTACCCAGCAAGAGCTGAAGGTCAGAGCTGGATGAAGCAAAGAAGGACCACATCATCCGCAAAAAGCAGAGACGAGATTCTCCTGCCACCAAACCTGACACACTCCACACCACGGCTGTGCCTAGAAATTCTGTCCATAAAGGTAATGAACAGAACCGGTGACAACGGGCAGCCCTGGCGGAGTCCAACCCTCACCGGGAACAGGTCCGACTTACTACCGGCTATGTGGACCAAACTCACGCTCCTCTGGTAAAGGGACTGCATGGCCCTTAACAGAAAGCCACCCACCCCGTACTCCTGGAGCGTCCCCCACAGGGTGACCCTGGGGACACGGTCATAAGCCTTCTCCAAATACACAAAACACATGTGGATTGGTTGGGCAAACTCCCATGCCCCCTCAACAAACACAAATGCATGTTAATGAAATGCATTATATTTTACTGGATATATTTATGTGTCATTTTGACTAAGATGAGTGTTAATACAAATCTAACATGTTACTGATATGTAGGTCAAATATATATAAATATTTTAACTATAAATAGCAGATGGGAAAAAGGGAAATAAACACTAATCTAATGCATATTATTGAGCATTTCATAATAAGAGTCTTTTAATTCAGTCTGATAATTTTGTTGTTTGATTTCATATTTTTAGCAGCAAACCAGTTTTTTTTTTCATTTCAAACATTGTCAAATGGAATATTCTATTAATAAACAGAAGCTTAGATTAGAACACTTAACGAATAAATATTTGGCATTTAAAAAAGTGAGGCAGTTTAATTCACAGAGTGCGCATGTGCTGGCGCACGGTCAGGATGGTACCATCTCTACCTCAATTTGAGCCAGGAAAAACCCCGGTGGCTATTTTGAATAAAATAACATGTTGGTGTCCAAACTTTGGGCCTGTACTGGTTATATTTGTCATTTCTTACCAACTGCCTTGTATAACATCCATGCTCCTTTTAAGGCTGCTAATTGAGAGTATGCATCCTCCAATTTTCTGGAAAGCTATAAATAATTGATGTGATGTGAAATCTTTTGCCTCACACATAAAAAAAACAGATTCCTAAAGAACATTTCATACATTGTAACCTATGAAACAAACAAATAAAATAATGTTTCATTATTTGGATAATGTGCACAGCAGTTAATATCACTTATAATTTTCTATTATACGTATTTACCCATGAATGGTCAGCATCCTCCGTGATGTTGATTGTTCGCCGACCCATCCCTGCCTGAAGAAGTTTCAGCTCATCAGAAACTTTAGGTGTTGTCTCCATCTTTTTGTTGACCAAGTAAAATTGTACTGGAAACGACTTGACAGGATTGAGACACCCTTTTACAGCACATGAAGAGGTTCGCTTTTTCCCAAAATTTTTTTTTCCAAATATTCCTGGAAATGATCTGTAGAAGATTGAAAATAAAACAAATGCCAATCAGCAAAATGCATAAATGGGACAGCCTAACTATGGTAAACCCATTTATTACACCTGAAAGGTTTATAAAATTGTTAATAACGATAATAATAATCATAATATTAATACTGTGAAACACTAATGCCTCAGTGTAACAAACCTTGCCATGCTCTGTTCTACAGTGTTACTCTGCTGCTGAACTCCTTGTCCTCCTGTGTTTCCCTGGTCTGCAGATTGTTATTATTTCAGACAGAGCAAAATCATACTCTCAATTGTTAAATACAACATATGCTTTATGTTATAACTTTGTGGGCAAAATCAAAATAAAAGCAACAGTTCTCACTGGCTCTAGATGATGTTGGGTCAGAAAGGGCATTCTGCAACAGGGACACCACACGCCGAGCAGCTTCCTGCAATTCTCCCTGTCATTGTGGGCCCAAAGTAATATTATCACAAAGGTTTCCCTGCTAAAATTCTAATGAAGGCAAAACTGAAGAGATTTATAAGACAAAACGATATATGCGGAGACAATACGTTACGTTAATGGCGGTGAAAAAGGAACGAATTTGTGATAGCACATGTAAGGCACTTTTGACAACAACGTTTAAGATAGAACCGAGCTGCCGTGGTGACTTTTAGGTTTAACCTGGACACTTTCGTAAGTCATTTTTTACTTTACCTCTGAATCCTTCGACATCCTGGCTGAGCTTCTGGCTGAACTAAAAGGCACGGAGAAAGGTACAAAATATGACCAATCACAGGACAGAGAAGATCGGCCAATGAGGTAGAGGGTGAAGTGCGGGAAAAACTAACCAATCAGAGGACAGAGAAGATCTGCCACAGGCCACGCCTCCAGAGTGCCAAAACCCCTTTACTGCCGAGCGCGCAGAGAGGCTGGCGAGCGCGCAGAGAGGCTGCCGCGCGCGCACGTTTTCCTCTGCCGTGTGGTCGTTGACAACGCGCGCACGCAGGTTTGTCACTTGTGCGCTCACAGACACAGGTTGCTCCCTCTCAGTGCACAAATGACCTCTCGCCATGTATATTTTCGCTCGCGAGTCCCGTTCACACGCGCGCTGTGGACCCAATGCGCGTGCACGGGTTGTGGCACGCATTAAACGCGATAGGATTGGATGATTTTACAGTATCGATTCTAAATGGTATGTCAACCTTGTGTTTCAAAATATATTCATCTGTGTAAACTGCTGAGTAACTGGATTGTTTATGCTCACAGTTGTTTAAATAATTTAACTATGTTCTGTAATCCTTATTCACATAGATTCTGAGATTGGAGATTCTCCTATGTTTTTTTATATGTTTGTTATGTTTTTTTAGCTGACAAGGATAGTCGAGTAACGCAGGCCAGGCATTACAAGATTCTGCAGGCAATGTATAAGAAGCCAAAGCCCAACCAAGACGCTGTCCGGCAAATCCTTGACCTTGAGTTTCAATCAAGACGAGCCTTCATTGACAGTGATGTTCTGAAAGAAGAGGAAAGAGCCGGACAGATTCTCGAGGCATACCCATGTTTCAAGGAGCTTCACAATGTAAGTGGCTTATTTTTTATTGTGTCTTCCCTACAAAGCAAGCATATACTTTTTTATTTCTTTCACTATAGGTGATGGACGAGCTGAGGCGCATCCTGGATAAAGGCAACTGCACATTCCTGACAGAATTAAAGAAGCGATGGGATGACTTCTGCTCCACGGTTCAGTTTTACGGTGTTTGGAAGAAGGTGTTGAAGCCACCCATGAACCTGGATAAAGGTTAGTCATTGTGCTGTCATCCACACACCATGTAACTGTTTCTACAGATATAAGTATGATTATCGTTATGCATATTGTTAACACTGATGAAACTGGAATAATTGTACCATATTGGTTAGAATGTCAGATGACCCCTCTTTAATAAAGTATATAGTTAAATATTTCTTAAGCTGAGGAGACCATCTTTCTCAGAGAAAAAGATGATAGCTGGTGTGCACTGTCACATCCACTCCTGCCGGAACCAACCGGACTCCACCTCCCATCAGGCCAGGAGTCGAACCTACTGCTCCCGTCAGAAGCCAAATTTCCCGCTCCTCTCGGAAGCACACACCTGGAGCAGCTGGCTTTTTCCTGCCTCCCGCTCCAACTCCAGCCGTGGGGTAATTCACCGTCTGTGACAGCATGTTCTTACCCAACATTTAGAGGTTGTGATGTAGACATTTACAACTACATTCTTAATTTTTTTTGTTTGATTCTTCCTGACACTGTATACGTTACCAAAAAAAAAATCTGTGTCTAAAACGTTCATCTTAAAACAAAGTTTTAGTATATGAAATGTTGAGGTTCTTCATGTGTTAGAGGAATACAAAACAATACGCTTAAAATTAAGATTTGTTAAGAAAGTCGTTGATCTGTGCGATGTTTGGAAAAACTTTTGATTTTTGAAAAGAAATTTCAAATAAAGGTTGTTTATTACACCCTGTGCCTAATTTCTTTTATTATAAATTCTTTGTCTTGATTTAAAACAAAACCTATTAATGATTCTTGATTGCAGAAGATTAATCTTGTACAGTTGCTTGTTCCAAGATTTTTCATCTCAACATGAGAGGGATAAAAAAACTGAAAAAAGCACCAACAGGCTAGTTTTGAGTTAATTTGATTTAATTTTGCACTTGAAATTAGTGTTTCACTACTTGTATTAAGAAATCTGTCACTTGTCTAAAGTGTAGATATTTTTTCTTATTTCAAGAAGTCTTATCAAGTGCAATTATCTTGCTGCACTGGCAGATAATTTAACTTAATTTAAGGTCATTTAGACTAAATTCAACTATTTTTTTAGCTTGTTTTAAGATGGCTAATTTTTGCAGTGATACCTCGGAGTCTGAGGAGGAGGGAGACTTTCTGGAAGAGGACGAGGGCGACCGTCGTGGTGTAAGTTCATTCACACTCTGAACGGATGTGTGTTGTTGAGCACTGTGACCCTCCCTCACCGCTTTATGATGATTTCATTATGTGTTCATTCTCCAGCAAACCACACCTGTCCAAGGCGCACAGCCGGAGACGACCGCCCCAGCGCTGCCTGGACAACCTTCTGAGGTGAGTTCTTTCAGTCGCCATTGTTGACATCATCCTGGGTTCAGTTGCTTTTGGCTGTTAACTTTGAAGGCTGCTTTATGATGATGATGACTTTATCACTAATGTGTTCCACCCTAACCCTGGACAGCCGGAGCAAACGGAGGAACCGGAAGAAACGGCAGAACCTCAGCCGACTGCAGAACCTCGGCAAACAGAGGAGCCTGAGCCGGCATCATCTCCCCTGAGCTCACGTGTGCCAGCTGTAGGTACAATTGAAAATTCTTCATCTGTCATTGAGCTCTATTGTCATTTCTAAACGTGAGTCTTTATCTTTTGCATGATCGCACACAGCGAAGAACCACCCGAAGGGCCAAGCCATTGTTGGTAAGCATTGCTCATTTCATATTTTGATCATTATATGTTTTCCTGTTTGGAAATAACTAATGAATGTTTTCTGTTTTCCTATACACATCAGCGTCAGTATCCCAAGGTCCTCCTGAGCCTGCTGAAACTCACAGCCAGGAAAAAAAGTGAGCAGGCATGGCGGACGCTACGCTTCAAGACGAGGGTAGTCTTGTAGTTTATTTCATTTGTTATTTTACAGCCTGTGGCTGTTTTTTGTTCACTGTCATGCAACAGTCTCATTTTGTTTACTTTATCTTTTATTGGAAAACTCCTAAGTCTGTGCTATTAAAGCAGAGTTTTTGAAAACATGCTGTTTTGTATTTCACACACACACACACACACACACACACACACACACACACACACACACACACACACACACACACACACACTTGACCTTTTCCATAAAATGTTGGTAAAATTAGAAACGTTTGCCATTTGCACTACAAATGTAAGGTGAATGACATGCTTTTGCCATTTGCCCTACAAATGTAGGTAGAATGACAAACTTTTGCCATTTGCCCTACAAATGTAGGTAGAATGACATGCTTTGGCCATTTGCCCTACAAATGTATGTTAAATGACAAACATTTGCCATTTGCCCTACAAATTTAGGTAAAATGACAAACTTGACATTTGCACTCTCACTACTATGTCATTAAAATTACTAATTACTATTATTACTAATTACTATGTCATTAAAATAGCAAACTTTTGACATTTCTATTACAAATGGACCGTATGGCCCTGAACTAGGCTGACAATATAAGTCCAAAGTGTGCCAAGTCAAAATTATGCAAGGTGAACTTTTGGACCTTATTTCACCACCTTAGCAAGATGCTGTCAGGATCAAACTTGGATGGGATTTTTACTACAAACTAGACCCTTTCTACAGTACTTATGCTGAAATCAGGGGCCTGACCACATTTTTCTGGGTTCCATTTAAATACAGTTAAATTTGTGGACTCTTGTTAAATAAATAGCAGGCATTTTTTAGAGTGTCCCTGTAAAGACCACATGTCTGTACCTTGATTTGAGGCAGACAACTGGACCCAAACAGGTGTCCTTTGATTGACAAAATGGGAGTTGTTGTCCATTGACCTGACAAATGTATGTGAAATGGCAATGTGCCATTTGCTGGACTAATGTAGGGACAATGGCAATGTGCCATTTGCTGGACTAATGTAGGGACATTCTCTCACCCTCAAAGTGATTTTGGTGTTTATTGATAAATGGTATTGAGAACCTAATATTTCTAACCCCTTTGCGTGTGTTGGTACGCCTGAATTGAATACATAAAAATGCCCAACAGCTATCATTTGCCAGTTTATGCACTAATATATGGTAGTTCCATTGGGCCGTCAAATGTAGGGGAATTGGCAATTGCCATTTGATGTGCAAATGTAGGGGAAATGGCAATAATTGCCATTTGCCGGACAAATATAGGGGAAAAAAAGGCAATTATTTGCCATTTGCTGGACAAATGTTGGGTAAATGACAATTTGCCATTTGCCGGACAAAGGTCTAGTGCCTGGCCAAACGGCAAAGTGTCACCTCCGCATTTGCCACCCCGACGCTTTTGCCATTCCGCATACAAATGTCGGGCTAG